GGGCTACTCTAAAATATTTTTATAATTTTTTAAAAATCATTTGAGTGTGACATGGCTTGATATTGTTTTCCTTTTTGTTTATTTTGCTTAAGGCTCATTGTCCTTGATTTTTAAGTTTGTAATTTTCACAAAGCTTCACATTTTTGTGTATCTTTAAATCTTTTGCAATATTTTTAGATATTTAAAATTCTTATCAGCTTATTTTCTCTGCAACTTCTGATATATTTCTTTCTACTGATTGCATTTCTGGGTACGACTGACAATTTTGTGTTTATTTTGTATGTGTGACATGTTTTGATTGGATGTGGCAATGCAAGTTTATGCTGTTGATTGCTGGATTTTGTTGTTTTTCTTTAAATAAATTGGATCTCTTGGGTAATATTATTTTCAGTTCAGCGTGATATTTTCAGTACTTGTTCTTAAGTTATTTTCAATCAAACATAAGTCTTAATTCTATGTTGTGATCTTTTTTTGGATCTCTAGTAAATCTTGAGTGTGTTTAATCTGAATTCTACTCTCTGGCTGATTGGCACAAAACATTGTCGTTCCGGGGTAAGCTAGTGGAGATGTGCAGTTTTCACTCTCTAGCTTCATGGAGGTGCACTGGCACACACACGGCTCAGTGTTTAGAGGATCTGCTGCAGATCTTCTGCATGCACATCTTAATAGGAAATCCAGGCAGAAAGTTGGGGCAATTGTAGGCTCTCCATATTTGTTTCTCTCCTCTTCGTGTGATGCTTACTGTACAATATAAAAATATAAATGCCTCATACATTCTGGCCATTTTCTATTTGTATACAGAGAAAGAGAAAATTCAATTTCAGAAACTCAATTGTAGGTAGAAACAGAAGTCCTTTTGCGATTTTTTTTATTTTTGCTCCTTAACAGCTATGTCACTAAGGTTTTGATTCAATGACTTAAATGTATACCTACTGGTTTTACTTTCCATTATTATACCTTTCATCTTTTGTTGTTTTTGATTTTATATCTGCTTCACCCCATTTTGATAATACTTTGCTCCTACCTCCTGTTTTGTGTATTTTTTCCAAATATTTTTATATCATATTCAGTATCTAATAATTAAAAAATTTGAGATTCTTGGTAGGGTTAGCTCTAATGTTTGTGCTGAATTTTGCTTGTGATACCTTGATTCTGTGTAATACTTTGATTCTTGCAGTTTAAGGTCCTTAGCTCATACTTAATAGGGCTTTGGAATTCTGTAAGATTTGGGTTTATCTGCCAAAGATTTGTGTTTGCCTGTGTCAGGCTCTTATAGAACTATTAAACTGAAACTCTTTTAAAATAATTTACTAGTGTGGGTTTTTTGGACCATACAGATTGTGCCAATTAGAATTCCAAAAATGCATTAAGACAAATTGTACGTGTAAATTCTTATGGGAATTATCTCCATTGCATTAGGAGTCCTAACTCTGGGACATACATTTTCTTTCAGCTCCTTTTTCTGACTGGTGAAATTTTTCCTTAGTTCATGGGTGGATATTGCACTTCTAGATCTGAGACCGGTCTGTGCTCCAACCCTTAAGTATCCATAAGCCCACAGTGTCATGTCCTCATTTCTACTGGTTTTAGGAGATACAAAGAGAACTGTAAACACCTCAAAGGCAGCAGAGAGTCAGCTTTATTAATTTTGTTTCCAGAGTTGTTCATATTTTGAGCCTTTCTCTACTATAATTATTACTACTAAGCTCAGATCCATATTTACAAGGGTGCTGTTTACTAGATTTAACCCAAAATTTTTAGGTGATTCACGGTGGGAGAATTTTTCAGATTAGGACACTGTAATGTCTGAAATGCAAATATTTCACTTCAGTTCTTCTCAAGGGGTGGCTCTTCCCTTCATTTACATCTCATTAAATGCTAACATCTTATCTCAAGTAGCTACTTCCTCAGTTATTCTCCATCACATTTCTCTTCCAGTTTTCCATCATGCTGTGCAATAATTTTCCAGAGTTTGTCAAAGTATGTTGTCTGCATCTCCTACTAGTATGTAAGCATCACGGGAAAACTTTCTTTTGTATTTTTCAGCTCTGAGAACAGTGAGTATCACAGACTGGGTGCTCAACCACTTTTTAGATGAATAATTCTTTTCAAACGTAAATGAATATGTGTCATAAAATATGTTTCTAAAACATCAGATCATGTGAGCAAGTGCAATGTGTGAATGCTCAGGATTCTCAATTATTTGTTTATACATTGCAGGCTCAACTTACAAAAAAGAAAATAATTGGTCTTCGCAAATCTCAAAGAAAGGGATTGCCCTGAGAACACATCAGGATGTAGCTCAGTGCTTGAGTGCATGGCTAGCCTGCATGAGGCCCTGGGCTCCATTCTGAGCACCACAAAAGAAAACAAAACTAAACAACAGAACCTCCCTTCCCCAAAACAAACAAAATCACATTGGTGTGAAGCAATAAAATACTATTTCCCCAGAAATCAGTAACAGGGCTACCACAAATTATTTAATCTTTCCGAAGTCAAGGATTAACTCCAGTATCCGGCAAAGTGAGAAGATCTGATAGACAATAGGTATTTCTACTTGGGCATAACTCCTAAAGCTGTTACTCTTTTACCACACAAAAAACTAAGAACATGATTTTTATTTTAATATGTTGAGTTTCAATGAAATTTTAAAGAAATATGGAAATGTCCTTCAGCGAGTAGCCTAAAAATATTTTCAATGCATGGCAAATCCTCACTTCCAAAAAGAAAGTTAAACATGCCCATGTCATCCGCCTTGCACTTGTTTCTGAGTAGGATGAGCTCTTTCACAGGGAATTGAGTTTCATATTCAGCTGTTGTGCCAAATTGAATCCCATGATAACAACGCTGAGCTTAGAAAATGTGGTTCAATTATAATTATTTTCCCCTTTGGAGAAGCTGGGAATTCTCTTGTTTTAACTGTCACATTGCTCATGACAGTTTTTTCTTGGAAAAAAAATTCTCCTTTATTCTTGGGAATTAGGGCCACTCTATACCTTCCCCGTGACAGTAATAATAACCATTAACACTTATTGAATATTACCAGCAGGCAAATCACTGAGATGAGATCTCTGTGTACTTTTCTCTTCTGTAAACCATAAAAATTCTCTTATAATATTATCATTACTATTGTTCTCACCTATGGGTGAGAAAACTATGTAAGGAGAGATCGGGGAGATGGTTCTGAGTAACAGAATTTAAGGTTCACAGTGAGTTCATGTTATGTAGCAATTTTTTATATCCTGCACAAAGAAAAATATATTAAATAATTGTTCCCTATGTATTACAAGTAGATCCAGATCTTCTTTTTGTTTCATTCATGGACAACTAAGTCAGAAACCCATGTGATGTTTTAAGAGATTGCGTGCTTGGTTCATTATATCAGCAGAAGCCTAAGTCAGCTGAAAGCTTTATTCACACAGATTTCAAAATTTTTTATAACTTTCCCAGGTTGTACCTATGATAATTGGAGTATAAGTGACATTTAATTCAAAATTGTATGAGGTATTCTATTCCACTTCAGTGATGACAGTGATTATTTTGAGTTTCCAGCCATGACTCTTGTTAACCTGCTAGCTACATGAATGCTTCCTAACTAGATGCGCTTCTCTGACTAGGGATCTCAGCTAGGTTGTGATCTTTTTGTTAAGTGGATTCTTGGAATCCATGATTCCATCTATGACTTGTTTCCTGCTTCTTATACTTGAAGTTAAGATAATTCTAAATAATTTTATATTGACTGCTTTGCTTCTTTAGCTCTTTGATCAATATTTTTAAAACTGTAATTCTCCATATTCCTGGATCAGTCTTTGGTGCATTGTGTCTATAGCTGGAGGATTACTGATGTATGAAACTTGTCTCCTTGGCCAGCTTGGTCTAATTCATTTAGTTTATGTTCTTCTGCCTCTGTGCTGTTGTGTTTTCCTGCTTTCTCTCCTGTGTTCCTCTGGGATCTCCTTCTCTGTCCTAAGTGGCTAGGCAGGAAGTCCGTCAGGCAAATGAACTCTGCACCAAACACACCCTGTAATGATGCCTTCTAATGAAAAGCATCAATGGCTGAAATTGCATTCCTTGTAATTTCCTGGTGGAGGTAGAAATGTGTGTAGTACTTTAGAGAACTGCCCAATTTTGTTGACAGTTATATTCAACTTATTTATTGTAGCTAAACATTTAAAATTCATAGGCCCTTTGCAAGTAATAAACAATAGGCATATGTCTTTGAAAAGATGATACAGGTTATTTCTCCAGCTTTATGTTTCTAAAGTCCATACTTAAATTTTTGTTTTGTTTAACTGTAGACTAAAAATAAAGGTGGTACAGTGGTCTTGTGAATTTTCTACAGAAGGTATAAGTTGGAACTGGCATGTCTTTAAGCAGCCTGAAATGAATAATTGCCTTGACTCAAATTCAAGATGCATTGTCAACTCCGTTACACTCTTATGAAAAAGAGCTATCCAAATGACAATGTTGCAATGATGCTTTGCCACAATTATACCAGGCACTGAAAGAACCAGCACCTTGTAGGGCACAGTGTATTTGCAGAGATCCTTAGAATAAAGCAAAAAAGAAAAATCTTCAAAAAAGACCTAGAGAAACAAAACCTTTAATCTAAAATTCCAATACTAAATTGTATTTAAATTGAATTGTTTTTAAATAAGTGGCATTGCTTATTATTTTTTTTCCTAGTAAGTCACAATGAATAAATTTTAAAAGCAGCACACCATGGGATTGTAGTTTTAATTAGGAGGATAACACCTATTTCCTCTGGTACACAAATGAGTTCAATTTGTTTTGTCAATTAAAAAAATACCCAATTACTCCCAAATCTTCTATTACAAGTGTGTATCAACAAAGGAAGGTCTTTTATTGTTTCAGGGATTTAATTTTTACAAGTCCTTGCATCAATAAAGTCCCTATATGTCTAACAGGAAGAGTAAAAACTAATTAAAATACCAACTCGGGTGGCATGTGGCTTACCTTGTCAAAGATGATTAACTCACCTATGGTTTTGGCAGACAATCACTGCTGTGTCTTCACCTCTGGCCCCCTCGGGGACCGTTTCTTCCTTCAAATGGTCTTCTGTTTCTGGTAAGGAGCCATTTTGGGAAAGCAAAGGTTCAGGTTCTCCAGCATACTCTTCTCTCTGGTCTGTTTCAATCTGAATCAAAGGCACCCCCCTGGAGCAAAGGGACCACCTGGTGTGGCCTAGAGGACCAGCGTCATGGCTCGAGGAAGTTTCCTTCTGTGACTCTAAACCATCTCGGTTGATAAGAGGAGCAGTTTCACTTGGAGATGACCCGGGGGAATGTTCGCTTCCGCTTACAGAGTCCTTCTTCGGGGAATCAACAGACTCCTGAACCAGCGGATCTGGACCACTGTGCACTCTGCCTGCGGCTAATCTGTTTGCACCCTTTTCCCTTTGCAAGGTGGAGCTACCACAAACAGGACCGGCATCAGCTATCTCCACATCATCCACGATAATTTTGTTCTTTCTCATGAGGGCCTTGATGGAGCTGGCCCACGTTTCATGAATTAACATGTTCGTGATCTGGTCGGTCCCAACTCTGCGATACAAGCACGAGTCAGATTTGCAGAGACCAGAGGAGGAAGCGCTACTGACTGGCTGCACACTTAGGAAATCTTGTGAGCAGTTTTGGGCAAAACCATCTAAGGAGTTGGCCTTGACCGGTGCATTCACTGTCAGCCTGACGCATGGGGATCTGCTATCCGGCATGGACGACTGTCTGTGACACAGTGGGGATCGTAGAGGAGGGGATAGCAAGCCGGTGCTCCACTCGTGGCTGCTTCTTCTGGAGGAGGTGCTGTCTCTGCTTTCCCTTTCGACGTCCCTCAGCATGTACCTGTAGAACTCCTCCGTTATGCTCTCGGTGCTGGACTGCTTAGAGGGACAGCTCGGCTTCAAGCTGAGGTGGTCACTTTTCCTGCAGGCCTGTTGCATCGCTGAGTTCAGAATGCTGCTGGCGTTCTTGCCAGCGTAGTAATCCAGCAGTAATTCAAATCCTCTCCCTTCATTTTCCATCTGGTTCACCATGAACCTTGAGAACTCATCGGTGATGCTCTCACAGCTCGATTGTTTGGAGACAGAGCTGGCTCGGCTGACTGGCTGGCTTAGGGTGCTCATTAAACCCAGGCTGTTCACGTAGGCCCGGGCCTCAGAGACTTCCTCGGGGATGCTTTCGCAGCTGGAGGCCTTCAGCCGGTTCCACCTGTCGCCACTCAGCAAGCGACTTCGGGAGTAGCTCTGCGCTTGCCACACGCCATCCGCCACGGAGAACTCCGTAAGGTTCATGATCTTGGCTGCCACTTCATTCGCAAAAATGCTGACAGAATCAGGGACATCTTCAAGGTTCATCGACTCATCCACAACCCTGTTCATGAGCTTCTCTCTGAGTTCAGGATGCTCATCTGTTTTTCTCTTGATCTCACCGAGCCGCGGTGGCTTGTGTTTCCTCACGGTGCTACCACTGCTCTGGCTTTCCTTCCTTCGCTTCAAAGATTGGGAGGATATGTTTGGTGTTACCAGAAACTCGTTCCCTCTTTTCCACGCACAAAACCAGGGTTGTTTTCCATAGGAGTTGTCAAGGCAGATAGCTGCAATTTCAGTTGCCATGGAGACGACCGTCTCTGCTAGTTCTTCCGCGAAGTCTGCAATGCAGAAGATGTCTCCCTGCTTTGCTTCCAGCATGGGTTGAGCGGGAAGCACCAGGTCATCACCTAGCAAGGACCGAGTGCCTTGGACATCGTTGTTCAATTGCGTGGCCCAGCCACACTTCTCCTGGGTGTTGGGATCGGTACTGTCCTCCGCACCCTGAGAGCTGCTTCTGCACTCGCCCACTTCTGGAGCCCTTTCCGCTCCTGAAGAGGCTCTACGTTTCTTCTCCTTGTGACAGGGAATCTGCGGAGGGTTCTCCGTATCCTTTCCCACCATTCCTTTCAGTTGCATTTCCTTAGGGGATGTTTTAGCAGTAGAAGAATCCTGCACTTGGTGACTGCATGACAATTCAGATGGCAGCGTGGGGTTCTTGAACAGGCCTGGCCTCGCTCCACTCTTCTCTTGCTTTGGATGCACGTCATCCATAAGATCATCGATGGCAAGACTGTATGGACCACCAGGAGGATGGCCGCTGGAGTGTGTGGTGGTCTTTGTCCATGCTTGACCAGCAGCCTGATCAAATGGCTGGAAGCCTCGGGGTTCTGTCTCTGTCCATCGGACAGTTTCCTTGGAGAGGACAGTAGGACATTCACTGAGCCTTACCATGTGGCTCATCTTCTTGAACGTGAAGATTATCACCTGGTGGAGCAGTTGGTTTGTGCTTTCCATCAGGGTGTCCAGGGAGTCCAATGCACGTCTGTCTTCGCTGGGGTGGATTTTTTTATTTTTCTGGTGAACTTCATCAATGGAATGCTTCAGGATAACATTGGATAGGGTCTGTGCCAGGTCGTTCCTGAGGATGTTTTCTGAGCACAGGGTCTGAGGCTTTGAAGCAGTTTCTAAGATTCTCCTGTTCACAGAATCCATGATGTCTCCAATGCTGCCATAGGACCCAGGCCTGGTTAAAACCAGAGCCACTTCTGTGAGCAAAGCCTCTGCAATGGCTTCCTTTTCCAGAACCATGTTCTTCTGTGTCACTGAACTACAAAGTGGAGAGGTGGCTTCAGATGCCTCAGCTGCAGGCAAGACATTGCTTGGGGCCACCGGGCATGATACCTCTTCTCTTTCACCCAGGCCACAGACAGCAACAGCACTTGCCACCTGAGTCATCCCACATAAAGCAGATGGAAAGGAGAAGTCACTGGGGGAAGGGTCCTTGAGTCCTAGGGATGCTTGAGTTTGCAGCTCTCCACTGCCTTCCAGCGTGCAGTTTGACACTGAGGATTCCTGCTCCATTGTGATTCTTTCAGTGGCCTGGGGACTGGAAATTGTTCCAATCACAGTGGCTGCACAAGCTAACGCTACTTCTAGAGCACTCTGAGGATGTCTGCTGGGGTTCTCTCCAGAGAGAACACTTGCGGTATCAACAGAAACATCGGTGTCAAGCCAGGAGGAGACACCAGCATCAGGGGCAGCATTGCCACCATCTGGACTCTGCACAATGACGATTTTGGGGAGCTCATTCCATGACCTGGCGGCCGCTATGTCTTTGGTGGAACAGCCACTGGGAAGCAGAGCACTTCCTAGAGGAGCATCAACTGCAGGCTCCTGGGGAAGTGTGGGTTGAGACTGAGACAGTCTGATAAATGCATCTTGCAGCACAGATTCTGCTAAATTCGTAGCATACTCTCCAGTTGTAGCTTCTCCACCTTGGATAGGAGGAGGAGAATTTCTTGACTCTTCATGGCCTCTTGGGTCTAGGCTGCTGCCCTGCTCAGTGACAATGCCACATGCAGAAGGTGGGTCTTTCTTCACCACCATGGGGAAATGAGCATCCCTGGGAATGTACACTGCTTGAGATGTTTCTAGTTGCTCTTTAAAATTCTCCAAATAACATTCTGGGGCTGGTTGCTCATTCCCCACAGCTTCACCATCCCTCTGTAAGGGCTTGTGTGACGGATCTCCACTTTGGGAGGCTGTGTTTTCCAGAGCTCCTTCCATTTTCATCAATGGTGTATTATATTTGCTGACATATTTGTTTTCCAAAATACAAAGGAATTTTTCCTTCCTGTCATCCCATTCCTCTTGAGTGGTTTCCTTTGACTTTTTACTTTCAAAAACATCGGCTGACACGTTTATATTTCCATAACCTAGTGAAAAGAAAATGAAATCTACTATTATTTTTGGGATGGCAGGTTGTCATAGGTCTAAAATAATAATTATTTTATAAAATTGCCTTAAAGCACCAGCTATCTTTCTGTCCTCAAATGCAGTGTTGAGTGTGTTTCTTAAAAAGTCAGTTTGAAAAAGGCCTTCAAATTTTGACTTTAACTGTCCCATGACAAAAGAGCTTGCACTGTGGGATGTAAGTGCAAATGCTAGAGTAGAAGGTATTTAGGAGCTGAATCCTAATCACCATTCTTCTGGGAAAGCAACACAAACAACTACATTTTAGAATTTCTGGGAGGGTTGAGAGGAGAAGCAAGAATGTTTAGAATTTCAAAAGAGGACTTTATTGCACAAAATTTGCTTTGAAGTTTGCATAGGACTCGCCCTAGGAAAAAACACTATCTGGGAAGAGTTGGGAAGAGAAACCCATTTCTTGAGTGCCACTAATGAGTGAGTAGAAAGAATTAAATAAGTGTCTAGTGCGTTCTTGGTTAATGCCTTCAACTTTCACAACAGCCATTAGCTACAGGCACTGCTGTACTCTGAAATTACAAATAAGGAAACAGCAGACCTCAAAAAGGTTAGAAAGATGGCCTTAAGTCTCACAGCCGCAAAATGACCCTTCTGAGATTCAAACCTAGGCCTATCCAATTTGGCTCCTACTAATACATAGTTTTTATGGGAATCTTAGAGAAACTAACTTTCCTCCCAGTGATAGCCTCCATCTTGAGGTAGGAGAAAAAATTTCCCTTTAAAACATACAGGTTTCTTTCAGCAACTCTAAGGCATCTTTTGGGAGGCGCCTCCATCCACTTCTCATCAGAGTGCAAGAGCCAGCGCCTTCCGCAGAGCTCATTCACCCCCGCCTTCCCTCCCTCCCAAAGCAGTGAGTGACTACTGCAGTGTGGCAGCCAGACGGACATAACCGGGAGCTTTTCAGAAACCTCCCCAAGGTATGTGTACATTGTCACTCATTTCCGGATGCACGTTTGTTTTGAGTGGGACCTTCTCACCGCTCCTATATTCTTCCACCTCGCTTTCCTCCAAGTGCTCAGAGGCAGTGAGGAAATCTTCCTCAACTGAGGACCAGGAACAGTTGGTGTCATCCTCCAGTTTCAATATGTTTGTTTCCTGGTGGAGCTGCCGCTCTTGCACCAATTCCAGGCCAATCAGGAATTTATTGATTTCAAAGATGATGCAGTTCGTACTGTTCGGTCTGTTCCCTCTTGCACATTGGACCAAGCAGATATCTGGTAGCCAAGGACACTAAAAGCAGAGAGGAAAGAAGATACTGTTCAAAAGGGAAAATAAAAAGACTATTGCTTTTAACCTTTCTCTTTCCACAAACATCTCCTGTTAAAAGAAGTGGGGATCTTAAAAATATTTGAAATATCTTCTGAGCTTATGTTGATGAACTGCTTGAAAAGCATTCAAGTGGCATTTGGGAACCTAGGGTCTCTAGGAGAAAGTTTGATTTGGAAGAAAATAGATGGACTGTATCACATGTTTTGTTTTTCCCTGGTCAAAGCAAAAATTTAAATTGCAAAGTTCAACAGCCAAAGACATGCAATTCATAGGACTGAAGTAGGGAAGAAAATCCAGAAATCAGAGCATAATTCCCTCAGTACAGAAGGCAGTAGGGTTGTTAAGAGCTAGAGTTAGGTTAGGGGTGAAAGGGGGTTCGCGTGCCCTTTCGGGTGCCCCTTCCCAATTAGGCCACTCACTCACCAAGAGGTCCGGCAGGAGATCTTTATTGTAGGGAGGCGAGCAGGAGGCAGCAAGGCAGAAAGAGAGAGAGAGGAGGAAGAAGAAGCAGAAGGAGAGAGAAGAACAAAGAAAGGAAGGTCCTTTTATCAGTTTGGGGGGTGGGCTATTGCTTATTTCTGAGAGTGAGTTACTTTTGACCTATCACAGGCCAGATTGCTTTTATGGGCCCAGTCCTGCAGACACAGGTTTCAACTTTCCTGGACCACTGTGGCCTTGCGGGGGAGGGAAACCAGAGATAAGGGCATGAGGTCATTTTAGGAGCCAAGATGTACCAGGAGAATGCAGCCTGTGAGGAGGCGTCACAGCATACTTTAACATGATCAATTCCCTAACAAGGGGGAGATCTTAGGCCCTTTCTGCTAGTTTACTTTACCCAAAAGGAGACTTTCTTGCATCCTCAGGACAAGCACTACTTTTTGCAACTTGGAGTAAAAATGCTACAGAACTGAGGTTTCTACTCTCCTGCAACGCTTGGGAGACTGGGCACTAGCTTCCTGACAGCTATGTTTCAGAGAAGGTGTAGGGTCCTAGAAAAATACTTTCCTGAGTTGAAAAACCGAAAGAAAAGCTCCAAAGCATTTACAGCTAAAATAGAGACAAACAATGCAGGGTTATAAGTTTTCTAGATCAAATGCTCTAAAACAAGACACAGGTCAGGGTCTAGAGCCAGGCAAACCCTGTGCACAGTTCTGGAGGGAAATGTTCAGGCTGCCTGGGTTCCTCCCCAGGTTGCTTTCTTGTTTCTCAGACCACTATCTTTGTCTGCCTGGAAGAAACTCAGTGTCTCAAGGGCATGAGAAGTGATCTGTTGTTATCCAGTTAGATTTTATCATCTGTGCTGCTCGTCTGAAGAAGAAGAAGCCGATGTGAAGTTTAAAGCAACCTGCTGGAGATGAACCAATGTCTCTGAAAGTTTAGCATATGGAAAGAAACAAAGATAAAATGGTCCGAACTATTGACTGGTAGCCCCATCAGACCTCTTAATTCTGTTTTATTACAGTGCATATTTCTGTTCTCCAGGACACATTTCCACTGCTCATGGTATTTTCATTAAAACTGCAATAAAATCTTTCAGTTTCTCTGGCACAGATTACTAGCTAATCACAAAACCATCTTCTGCTTTGAGACATCATTTCCACAAGAGGGGAAGAATTCCAATTTATAGTAATTTGTAAAGAAAAATTCTCCATGTAGAAAAAAAAATTTCATGGGCAGGGGATCAGTAAACAGATTTATCTCTAAATGGAATTGGAAATGTTTGGGAAGAAATGATGCATGTTTAAATGCTCACATTATAAAAGTGATCAGGGGTAGTTTTGGAGTCCTTGAGTCCAAGTTCGAATGTGTTTATGAGTGGTGAATGTGTGTGCAAGCAAAAGGACACACACAGACATTTCGATTGTATTTCCTGAAGCAATTTAACTTTTCCTTACATACAAATTATTATTTATCCACCTTTGATTGAATATTAGGATGTAATCCTAAGAGAGACAACTAGACAATACAAAAATCAACCACTCATTCTCTGAGAGGTTCAGGAATCCCTAGGGGGTGGGAAATAAAGTTCATCTAGGTATGGACACGATCATGACTGATTTTTAGAGAAAGGGTCTATGCTCTTGCTTTGCAAAGCGTGTGGGCTGTGGCTGCACAGCTTCTGTCTCACCTGGAAGCACCTTAGAAAGGTATTATCTCAGACTCCACTGAAATCCCCTAAATCAGATTCTGCATCTTCAAGAAATCTCTGGGTAGTTCCCATCTAAGTTAACATTTCAGAGGCAATGGTCTTTCAGTGAACTCAGAGTGTCTGTAATCTACTTAAACTATGAGGAAGTATGGCTCTAGAAGAACAACTCTTGTAATTTTCTTTTCACTGAATTGAGACATAAATCACTAAAGTAAAACTTACTATATGCCATTGAGTGCCTATTTTATGTAAATTATGCTGTGAGGCATAAATATAAATCAGATAATGCCTTGAGAAACAGGGCACAATATATTTTATCAGTGGGTCACCCAGGGATAAAAATAAAATAAATTTGAACCCCGTGAATTGCCATACATGTAGGTAACACAGTTGTATACTGGCCATTTCATGTTATTCAAATTAAATAGATATAACATAAAAGTAAAATGTGGGAGGAGTCAAAGAGATAGTAACAGGAGCAATATGAACAGCTGAGTAAATACGTGAAGACAGACTTTTCAAATACTGCCTGTAGCATGGTGGCACATGTCTAATAACCCCAGAACTCTGGCTTACAAGTTTGAGTACAGTCTGGGTAATTTAGCAACTTGAGATCATTTCTCAAGATTAAAAAATAAATTTAAAAAGCCTAAGGAAGTAGCTCAGTGCAAAGGCCCTGTGTTTAACCCCCAGTACTGCAAAAACAAAAACAACAACACAACAAAACCACCTTTTTGGACATAAATAAATATCGTGAGAGTCTTAGCTAAGTAAAGATCTAACACTATAGCCTCTCAGACAATGCCAGATATCATTATACATTCAGGATGGTAGTTTCCTGGGCGTTCAGCATAACTTATTACCTTCAGTGTGAACATTATTTTCACAAGGTTGATGGTGCTATTGCTCTTTTACAGAGAGAGAATAGAGGCACAGAAAGGCTAACCAGTCTTTTCAGGGTTACACAAGCATAGAGTAGAAGGGTCAATGTTGCAGTCCAGGTATTTTGGACTCTAATTCCAGTGTTTCCTGTAATGTCGTGGTCCAGACAGTAAAGATCCAATGTCCAAAACGGAACTGTGGACTTTGGCAAGGATTCAGCGCCACACCCCGGCCTTTTCAAATTCATGTATGTTCAGTCAGTGATGCCTTCTATTCCAAGGACACCCACAGGAGTACAGCTTACTGTTGTAGAGAATATGCTAAGAAAATTTCGCTTTTTTCAGGGGGTGCGTACTGAGCATCGAACTCAGGGCCTTGCAGTTGTGAGGCAGAGGGCAGAAACACTGAGCTAAATCCCTGGCCCCCAAAATTTGCTTTTGTAGGAATAAAAAAGTTGCTTATACTTGTATTTTCTACTTAGCATTTTCCTGTACCATTAGTAGTCATATGGTCTTTGTGGTTATTATTTTTCCTAAAGATTTCATTGTTTATCTTAAGGCTCTCTTCTGGCAGCTCTCCTGCATGGCATGCTGGTAGATATTCATTGACCTTTTCAGACCTGTAGGTGGACAGCTGTATACTTGTTTGCATACATTAATTAGACCCACAGCAAATAAAGTCCAAGAGATTACTCAACTGTAACGGAGCCCTGAGAAAGCACAATATTGGACTTTGTTTGCCACTGTATCCCTTGCACCTCCACAAGTGTTTAACATTTTGTACATATGTAAATAAATATTTGTTAAACAAATATAAGAGCGACTGAGAGATATTATACATTTTAAAACATTTTACCAGTTGTAGTATTTAATTATATAAGTGCAACAATATATAAACAAACAAGGGAGTAATTTTCTAAAAGAAAAGACAAAGATGTGAAAAAACAAAGAGAAAACTTCTGGCAAGGAAAAGAAAAACTTTGCAAGAAGCAAAAACAGTAAATTATATACATTATTCTTGCAACACTATTGCACTTATTTTGCCCAAACAAACCTAGCCAGTTGGTAACTGGATCATACTCTGCGTGTTCCTAATACTCCACCCTGCCACCTCATTTCAGTTTTTGTTATGCTTTCTTTCTACTTCATCTTTCAATTGTTTGAATACAAAAGGAAAGTCCTTTGAATTGTCCTTTGTACTTACCAAGTTGCTCTCATAATATTTTATTTCATTTTTATTATTAGCTTCCAAGAAATTTTTTTTTCAGAAAAAAAAGACATGAAAATAATAAGAAAAAATAAGGAATGAGTAACATGTTATCTGGCCTCCTAAATGTTCACTTGATCACTGAAAATCTCCTTTGATATTATAATTTCCTGGGTCAAAGGTGTACACTGGCTTGTTTATTCCCTTTCTCTATGGGATTGGTCATTATTCCCTTAGAATGACTGATTCAGGGGCTGGGGATTTAGCTCAGCGGTTCGGTAGCCTGCCTTGCAAGCACAAGGACCTGAGTTCAATCCCTGGTACCAAAAAAAAAAAAAAAAAAAAAAAAAAAAAACAACAAAAGAATGACTGATTCAGACTTTGCGGACTCACCCAGCTCAAGTTGCCTCTGCCCATCTGTCTGTCTTTATTTATGAATAAATACATAGCCAACTTCCACGGAATAAAGCAGTCACACTAAGAATATCCTTACATGAGTAAGTACTTGCTGTAGCTGGCTGGGATAGGGTTCAGTATTGAAGTGCTTCCCTTGCACTGATGATCTTTGCAAACATACGGGCCAGCATACCTAAAAAATGACTTGGCAGCTCCACAGAACTGTAGAAAGGCCAAACGGTACAGGGCAAGCGAGGGAGAGCCTTACTGTAAAAAGCATGACGTGCTTCTGAGAGAGGTGGCTCATAAACAATACTCAATGGAGCTTAGATTGAGAAGCTATGCAAAACTGTGGGTGCTTTGTTTGTTTGCTTTGAGATGGGATGTCACTCTGGGATCTCACTCCATTGTCTTGAACTTTTGGGCTCAAGTGATCCTCTGGCTTCAATCTTCTGGGACTCCAGGCCTGAGCCCGTGTGGTGGTGCCTGGCTTTGAACACATCTCTGAATGGATTGAATGGATGGTTTTAATGAGCTCTTGGCAGTTTGACTCCCCTGATCTCAGTGAACATCTCTGTTACTTTTATGACCTAGCTTCATTTTCCCTTCTGGTTCTCATACCCCGTGGGGTACTGTTTCCAAGTAATTCAGACTGAGTTCATTTATCTCCAGCTGCACAGGCGACCATGCAAGTCAGGGCTGGCCGCTGTGAACAATGGATTCCTCAAACCGTCACGATTGCTTTCGCAAGGGGCAGGTGACATGTGACAGTTGATGAGACTCAGTGAGATTTTTGCTGGGAGCCATCAAAACGGGGATCCTTGTGTCAAGGGCTTGTTTGTAATGGGACAAAGAGAAAGCAGAAAAGAGAAAAGTCTGTGTCCTTATGACCTTGTTCAAATCCCTGCGTCTGATCTTCCTGCCACATTTGTTTATGGGAGGCAAGACATTCTCTTTTGGTTTAAGCCAATTTTCTGCCTTGTTTAATTAAAAATTCTGACCAGGGTTAATTGGTGTCGAGGGAGCTCAATTCAAGGTCAGGTCCAATTGATGCCAGCATCAATCTTCATAGGGAAATCACAAGGAAGTTGAATTTTCCATTAACCTGCACTTGGTAAGAGCTAGGAGAAATATTGTATGAAGCAGAAGCACTTTAGTAAAAAGTGTATGAATGTGTTAAAGAAAATAGGAATAAGGTCTTCATTCCACACTATATTTTATATTATAATGTATAATTTGGTGACAGACCAAAAATCACATAAAATTCACGTTAAATTTATACCACGTAGTCTTGCTAGTAGCTGCAAAATCAGAGATATATGATTATGTAGTGATAAAGCCTTCTCATATGTAAATTGATTGATCACAATGTTTATAAAAATCATTACTATACTTAAAACTCAGAGATAACGCATTTTTTCCAAAACAGTATTTTTGAAGAAGAAGCATAGTTTTAATTGTAGTTTTTATACTAGGTTGGGATACTTAAACTTTTATTCTTCTTGTGTAACAAAGAGTAATATTTATTTTATACAACACACTTTCACATATTCATTTCTTTCTACAAGTTAATCCTGCAAAATAGAAATTGATCCTATCATGATATTATGAATGGGTCCAAAATGAAATCCAAAATGATATCTATTCATTTATGTTGCTTTTCTGGCTAGCAAGATCCCTGTTGTTGTAAGCTACAGACTTCCTGTTTATTAATGAAAACTACTACACCAGTCTGCAGATATATGTCCAGGTCAAGGGGAGGTGAATGTTCCTTATCCTCTGCCTTGGTTTAGTATGAAAAGGAAAACAGTTTTGGTTTCTAAGAGGTTTAATCTTCTATTTAGCAGCCACACTTGAAATTTCATGTTATATTAATGAGCTCCACCATAGATGAAGCAAAACCTTTTATCTGGTGGAGTAGGGACTCCTTACTAGGATACAACAGGAAAGAAAATTTAGGTTTGAATATTATTTCTGAGAATTATGGTTTTGCCTAATATAGAGGGCACTTAAAACCCTTTTTTATTTTTTAGAAACCTAGCCTCATTAAGAAAATTACTCTTAGATTGATGTCTTCATTAGAAAATTATAATGGGCCATGCTATGTAAATTTTCTTTGAAAATCAATTGAATGGCTTTTCCTATATTTCTTCAAATAAAGTGCTATGTTTATATAATATCAATTAATGTTGACATACTGAATAATAATAGTAGTATTTTAGTTCCTTCGTTTTGAATAGCATTCTTTTATTTCTTAGAATTTCATTCTTCAGGCCCAGGAAATTCCTTTTCCATCACTGGGCAGCTGTTCTTTAATTATTAGCTTTGCTAGTTTGGTATTTCCCAAGGAGTAAATTACACTTAGGAAAATGATGCAACAGGATTCAGACAATATGAATTGAAATTTTGGCACTGTTCTGAAAAGAGAAGACAATTCTGTTTTACTTATTAGATTTGTAGAAAACCAAGATAAATAAGTAACGTGGGTACGTCTGCTCTAGGTCAAGTGCAATGTTACCATGAACTTGCGAATATAATAGAAATTTGGAATTGATACAAGCAAAGTTCTATCAAACTCTGAGTAGCAATATTTGGGAGGAATACACATGAAGAGTACTATCAAATACAGAGGCACCACTGATTATTATATTGTAGGTGCTTGTGTGTAGTGTCTGTTTTGGGTTCATATCAATCTATACTAAGCTGTCTAGAGATAACTTATCCTTAAGTAAATAACTGAGAACTTAAGTTTCCTACCTGTGAAACTTGAAAATCTGCCTGGAGATTTCCAGATGCTAGGCCACTTAGGAGGACAATTTCATTTTCTTTTGGCTGTTGGACGTTCATAGAGCTGATGATTTTTGGAAGGTCTGGTGAAACATTGATCAGTTTCTGTAGAGCAAGAATCATCATGAGCTTAGATGATTTTGTTTCACTTTTCAAATGCTCTTCTCACACTATTTTACATGCAAGGACGATTTACTCATTCTACAGATTACTTAATCTACTAAGGCTATTCCTGGAAGCAGCTGTATAAACTTAAAGCATAAGAGTTAAGGTTAGAGTAGAAAATTTAATCTTTAAAAACTCTTTGGTTCTAAATTTTCCAAAGTGAATATTTAACAATTGCTGTCATACCATAAATAAAAACAGGAGTTTGGAAATATTTTGCTTTAGAGAACTGTTTCCTAATAATCTTCTAATAGTCAAGAACAACAGCAACAATAATGAATGACTACCTTTGATTTTATTTTGACCATGTTCTAAGCACTATGCTAAAGATTACATATATGTTACATCTTATTGCTTTGAATCTCCACAAAAGCCCTATTGATATTATTACTTTTATTTTATACCCAAACAGCATAAGATCCAAAGATTAGTGACTTGCACAAATCTCAAAAATCAGTGCCAGTGTGTCTGTTGTAAGCTGTCCCAGGAGATTGTCTCAAGCAACTCACATAAATTCTTCAAACATGGAGTTCTTACGAGGCCCACCTGCTTTCATCCTCCCTGCTGTCTCTTTGATGGACTCTGTACAAGAATTCCATCCAATCAAAGAGTATGTAAAACCTATTTTTAAAAAATATTTGCAGCTCTGCACAGACAATGGTACTTGGAGCTTGGTGAAAAGGTCTAATGGATAATCTGTGTAAGAAACTGGGTTCTTTTTTTTTTGATACTGGGGATCAAACTCGGGTCCTCACACTTGCCAGGCAGTGGAACCATTGAGCTAAATCCCCAGCATTTTTATTTTATTTTTTGTGGTTTTTTTTTTTTTTTTTTTTGCAACTGGGTTCTTTAAGAGGCTAAGAAGAAGTGCAGGAATAAGTGAATAACTGCAACCACTGGTTACAAAATAACTAGGTGCTGAGTTAGTGTACAATTGGTCTGTTGTTGTATGACAATGAAGCTATAAATGGAATTCTGTTGTACACTGAACAGCATTAAATCAAGTGGTGAGGTCACACAAGGTCCCGAGTTCGATCTCTAGTATAAAAAAAAAAAAAAAAAAAAAAGGGAAAAAGAAAAAAAAGTGGTGAGATCAAATCTGATTAGCTTTGGGCATGGATTTAATTCTTCCCATTATACGGCAGGCTCTGTTCCCAAAGAACTAACTGGACATTCACATGCTTACATCTTGCCAAGGAATTATATCAGCTTTGCTCACAACCTGGGATGAGCTTGGGGCACTGAGCTCCTTCACGGTTCAAAAAGTAAGTTGGAGCTTCAGATGAGTGCGAGACAAGAAAGGCAAGGTTAAAAGTCAAATTTTATGAAAGCAACAAGAAGGAGCAAACCTGAGGCAGAGAGAAGTGCTGGCTTGCAGAAATCATGTTTTATAAACCCTTTGGAAGCCTTGTCAGACAGGGTGTTTCCGAGTGATGAAAGAAGAGAGTAGCTACGGAAAGCGCTAGTGGGTAATAGGTGGTGTTGGATGGAGCCATGCTGCTTGCGTGGAAAAGCAAGGTCAACAAACGTAAGAAGGCCAAGTTGCATGGGAAAGTAGCAAGGGGAGGTCAAGGAAATGGATGTGATGAAGCCATCTGTGGAAGAGCCCCTTATAAAATGAGCATCATTCTGGCACCTGTCTCACAAGTGCAAGGACTGAGTTCTATCCCCAGTACAAAAAAAAAAAAAAAAAAAGGAACGAAAAGAAAAATTAGCATCGTTTGTAGATGAATCCCTGCCATGAGCTCCTGGAAGCTCGAGTCCCAGTGTTACCTGCTGCAGGTGCTCTGTGCTACATGCATCCCTGTTCACATCCAGGTTCACAAAGCAGACCTGGGAAAGAGAGTAGCAAGGAGTCAGTTAAATGAAAACCTTTTAGAAGTCCTTTTAGTTTTTTTTTTTTTTTTTTTTGGTACCGGGGATTGAACTTGAGTCTTTGCGCTTGCAAAGGCAGGCCACCAAACCGCTGAGCTAAATCCCCAGCCCTAGAAGTCCTTTTAAAAGAAAGCAGGATGCTCTAAGCTCCTGTTTACAATTACAACAACCACTTCTGTCCATCTAGCTCTTCTTACTTCAGGCCTGCTTTATTGATGTGTTTTGTTTGTTTGTTTGTTTTATTTTGTTTTGTTTTTGGTACTGGGGAATCGAACTCCGGTCCTTGCACTTGCGCCGCAGGCGGCGGAACCACTGAGCTAAATCCCCGGCCCTAGGCCTGCTTTTAATACAGTGTGCAATAGGTGGATTTTCCTTTGCCTCTGTGTACACAGTGCAATGTAACTTTTAAAATCTTGTACAGATTGTTTCTTCGTTGGTCATCTCAGACAAAGGCTTGAATGAGTTGAAAAGCAATAGGGACAATATTAAATAGTTTCAAACAGCAACACATTTATTGTTACGATTTAAATTCTAGGTGCATCATCACATTGGTAGAAAATGACTATGAGGGCTCCAATGAGGGGTGGAGAGAAAGGCTTAAGGAATGTAAACCAAGGAGGTGACACTTGTTCTTGAAAGACATTTTTTTAAAAGGCTGTGTTTCATAGCAAAAGAGGGAGGTTGGAAAGCAGCAGTAATACTTCAATATGAGAAAATGCACTATGTGATCAAAAAACAAGAGAGGAAAAGTCTGATTATGGTTCAGGCCTGTAGAAAAGAAGTGCTGGAAATAAGATCTTGGAAGGATCATGTTAGGTGAGATAATGTGAATGAAATTTTTTATCTTGCTAAAAGCATGTGTAGTTGCTTTGACCATATGAAGCACAGGATGTGAATTATCAGGAAATTTATTTGGATGTTTGGACTTATTAGATACCTGTAGATACAAGGGACGTTCTGATTTCAATTCGATGTCTGGGGTTATGATTTCTCAGACACAGCCTATCCCTTTTCTTTTTGAAATAAAAAGACAAAAGCAAACAAGCAAGCAAACAAAATGATCGGAAGCTTTTGAGAAAGGCTCTGACAACTCTCACATGTACACATTGCTGAAGTATGAAGATCATTACTGCTTTATTCCCAGATGATGAGGGTTTTGTCAAATGTCATGGGCTCCCAGGCCCACAGTGCATTGCTAGAGAGGGCCTGGCCATTGTGATAACTTGATGGGCATCAGGGAGAGAAAAGGGCCAGGAGTTTTTGCCTACACTCCCTCCCATTCCCAGATTCCTTTCCTCTGGGATATTAGGAAGGCATTGAACATAAGTCCCTTTGCAGACAGCACTGGTGGAAGCACCAGTAGCAGATGGAGATCAGAAGCAATTCATGATCTAGAGCACTTTGAAAATATTTGTACAATAATTGCAATTTTGCCTTTGGAAAGAGAGTTCAATATCCATTAATACTCAAGGACTTTCATCAAGGTGCATCGAAAGACTGTAGTTATTGAATTATTTAGACCATTTTTCATTCATCTTCAGAACAGGCTCATTACCTCACCTTTGGAAGTATCAAAAAGCTCTTCTTATCTCATATTTCAGTGGGAGAAGGGAAAACAGAGACCAGAGACCAAGCAGAGGCATCCACAATAATAATTTTCTTCATTCTTGGTTACAAAATGAAATTCAGCTGGCCTCTGATGGAAATCTTTCACAATTGGTTTTGTTAGCTTGGCCGAGATAGAAACAAAGCCAGACCCAAAGCAACCTCTTGTTCGTATGTGGCTTTGCACGTTTCCCTGTACCCTGGTGGTTAGGATAAGCCAGGTATTTTAGTACATGCCCTTGTATGTACTAAATCCTGAGGTATGTACAATCTGGGGAAAATTTCTATAAGAAAAGGAGCAGTAAAGTTTTAATTACATATAAAAATGAATTTTTTTCAAAGAAAGAAGGAATCACAACAATATTCAATGTAGAAAAGCTTGAAATACTAAAAGTACTGAAAACTTCCTGAATGGTAACTAGTCAACCGCCCAATTATAACACCATAGTACCTTTTCCCCCATGTATTTCTAACTGCTTATTCTTTGATCCCTTAATAGGATAGAAATTTTATAAGTCATTTTCTGTAGGGAGAATAGAAAGGTCATTCTGTTGCTTTTTAACATGGTTGATTAAATTTTGTCAGCTAATCAGAATTTTATTGACAATATCTTGTACAGTTTTTTTTTTAGCTTAGTGTCAAATTTAGTGGGAAGCTACTATGTATAATTTCTTTCATGTATGAGTTCTTACAGGCTTACTTACTATTTGTGGGAACATTATATTTTTGTGTTCTACAAACATAGATATTTAACTGATTGGCCATCTTGTGATTCCATGAGAAAAGAAAAGAAATGCATGGTGTGTTTATAAATTTCAATGCTGCAATAACAAATTCCTTTCAAGAGAGGTTTTGTGTTGACTGGGTATCACTGAGAACTCAGTTTTGTATTTAAATCTTACATATCTCATGACCTGAAGAATGCTACACAGACTAGCTCCTGGCAGATATATCTTATTTCCTCTCCAGTCCCTGCATGTATTAGGCATTGGAAAATGTAGGACATTCTCATATGATGTGATTGTCCTGACACTTTTGTGTCACAAGCAAGTCTGCTATAGTTGCCACTCTCTGCGATAGAAGGCAGAAACCAATCCTGCATGGAGATGGCTAGCAGCTGCTTATGAATATGTGAAAGTGAGCCCAAACCCCACAAATATGTTTCATGTAAGCACAGCCTCACTCAGTTGCTCTCAGATCAGATCCCACAAATATCTAGTTCACTTCACTAAGGGAAAACAAGATGTAACGGAGTCTAAATGGAAAGAAATAATTGTAGTTAAATACATCACTGTTGAAATTGAAGGGGTGATCTCCCTGTGCTCCATTCTGAGCAATGGAGCTGGTGGTGGGCTCCAGTTTTAGGCTGGGGTGGGGTGAGTTCAGGGAGAAAATAGCAGCAGTGAATCCAAATTCCTGCTTCCTCCAGAAGCACTTGCTCAAGAACTCTAACTCTCATGTTCAGATACTGAATGTTACTCTCCTGTCTTTATTATAGTTTTAAACTAAAACACTGGAAGAATAAATATCACAGAGAAAATGGTGTCACTTTGTGGTTTTCATATCTACATAATCTAATAAAATGGTCTTTAAGCTCTGTATATACAGTAGAACTCTGAATGTGCAATGGCTATATTCTATTTTCTTTGGTATTATGGGTTATTTTAGTCAAACAATCTTGATTATTTTTCTATTTATAACTTTTTTTATAACTAGAGTTTGTTGTGAAATTTTTGAAATTAAACTTTTGCTGTGAAATTTTATTGGTTCCTTATACAATATATTTTTGCAAAATGCTATTCTGAGAAAAAAGCTGACATGAAAATCCAGCAAAGTGAGACAAAGTAACATAATTTGTAATTCACAGTAACTTCTGTGAGGTAACTGCATTTACAAACCAAGTCAGACAAAAACAGTGCTACTATATCTGTTAAAAAAACCCACAAACACATGTGAAAGGAACTTGATTGCCAACATCAAGCCCAGATTGTGGACAGTTTTATGTTTCCCTGTATTAATTTTAGTTGGCATTTTAGACGGTGTAGAGAGTCAAACACAACAGTGAAGGTCAGTGTATTAAGCACCCACTTAGGGAAAATTAGTGGGACACCTTTGACTTGCTCTGCTGAGAAAGTCCCCAACTCTCTTGAAGTTAATTAAAATCCAATAAGGAAATCATTTTTATGGAGATTCTGTTTAAAAAATGTTAATCAAAAGGAATATATCAAAATGCCTTTAAAACCTAGGCATTTGAATGATGAATACAACCAAATATGTACTTATGGTTTATTCTGCCCCCCCCCCAAAAAAAAACCAATTTCTTCTTTCCACAGCATCTCACAATGCAGCCATCTGGCCATGTGAAATGCGACAAGATCTCATAAATTGGTGGTATCAAAATGCTGATCCACATAGCTTCCAAAGGAAAAAAAATGCCTTCTTTCTTCTCCCAACTAAAAGTCATTCACTGGATTCAAGGATGCTGGACCAAAATTATCTTCTAAAGAGTCACATTTTCTCTGATTAGTACTTTAGACTGATGCTATTAAAATGGTAATTTTTACATCAGTGTTGGTACGCTATCAGCCTGCCAGACATTCTGAACACACGACCATTTGGGAAAATACTGCATTTGTATCCAATTTTCCCTTTGAAATGATTGTAGCACTCACATAAAATGAAATATAAAATTTTATTTATACTTGAGACCATCAAACTTCTCTGCTTTTTATTGTCAATATTTAAAAAATAGATTTGAAATGCTGTCTCAGAAGCAGCTATGCAAGCTGTTTGTGAAGAGATACTAAAAAAGTATAGAAAGTTCTAAAAGATGAGAGATCTTTTAACCATACATTAATCAGTTTTACTGCTAGCATAAAAAAAAAACTAGTTTAAAAAGTCTCTAAGTGACTATTTATACCCAGTGAAAACTAGAACCAATGAACTAATTAATTTTTATACTTAAGCTGCTTGGAAAAAATGTGCTGTGGGTTATATAAAAATAAAGTGGCAGTTGAAAATCTTTATATTTTGCATATACAACACTGTTTTCCTGTATGATTTTTTTTAGGAATAGCCTGTCTGTGGCTTATTAGCCTTTGGCAATTCCTCCAGTGTGACTATTTTGTTTTCTGTCAAGCAGCAGTTATCGGCTGAATTTCCCTCTATGCCAACACTATTCTGATCATGTGAGACCTGTTCTCTATATTTAAGGAGACTTTCTATACATTATTTCTTCCTCTGGGATCAACATCGTTGAACTCTGAGAGTTCTTAGAGAGGCTAAATCATGATTCTCCAAGTATTTGTTTGCAATAAGGCAGTTCTGCCTTCCTCGAAATCTTAAGACCCCCC